GGTCACGCTAACCAGCGAAAGGATCGTAACTCCTGGCGTATCGAGAATCTGCTATAAAATACAGGTATTGTAATGAATTATCAGGGATAAGAGTAAATTTGCAGATGTTTTTATTATGTCACCACATACAGATAATCTTAAGTCCTCCTTTACATAAAGAACATTTACTTTTAGGACACAAGCTTAAAATCAGTCACTAACCCTGTTCTCTCATAGGCTCGATATGAATACCACAAGCAAAACTTCAATCATGCTTATCACTGACGGAGTGCAATGACGGGCAGTAACCCTGGAGATCAGGAAGGCAAAAACCCAGACTTGGCGTTTCTTTCAGTCAGTGAATGACGTAACTGGTGACGTTTGAATGTTAACACCCTCGCTTATAACCGCTGATGAGTTTAAACTATAATTTATTAGTTTTGTGCCGTGTAGGCATATGCTAGAGAAGATTTCCGTACTCTTCCGTACAGAATACGGGGGGGTTTGACGTAAGCCGGAAGAATTTCTGCTCGCAAACTTACATTAGTAATTTTTACATGTAGTATAATAAATTAAGATATTTCCTACTGTGTATATATTTACATCTCATATACTTCATACTAACAAGTATCTAATACAAGATAAGATATTTTTACATCCCTTGTGATGCATTATATTACGCTCTGTCTGAAAAATATAGCATACAAATATGTGTAATTTATCAATTACAGAGCAAAACATCCCGAATACCAAAGGAATGAAGACTTTTATAGAATGACACAAAGCAGGTTGTCAAATTTGATAGAGAGATTATCGGGAAGGCTGGCTGAATAATCAGTGAGATTTCAATGATATAACATAGTAAATAAGATCCACCAATAAGTAAATGAATCCAAACAGTCATTTGGATCCAGCTGGTGATATATTTATCATTTAAGACGTTAGATGAGGTGTAAATAGCATAAGAAAATCAGGTGACAAGACATGAAGAAGTGATATGTATTTCTAAACAGGTATTTTTTTCCTAATGTACGTATAATAACAATAGAAAAGCAACAGTGAATTTGACGAAGTACTGACTTTCGTGGGACCCGTCATGTCCAGGTTTGGCTAATTGAAGTTAGACTTCCTCTAATATTTTTTATTATTAACTAACTTTCTCTATATTGCATTTGTATGGATTTTACGGTCTGTGCAGTGTTACGACGAAATCGGCTAATATTCATATAATTTTATTAAGTTGGCCAATATCATATTGACCGAGTTTTCTTATATTTAAGCGAGGCTTTATATGAAAACCGCGCAAATCGAACGCACTCTCTCGTTCGCAATGATTTGCAGGTTATCCGTCCACCAGACAAGAAGTACTTACAACCACTTTCTCATGAATAAATACTATGTTGTTGTTATACAGTATCTCAACATTAGTTGGTTTCAATAAAAAAAGTTATCAAATAAAATTTATTCAGTGTGGTTGTTTATCAATAAAAATATCATTAATCGGATAATTTCATACTGGCCTCGTTATTGGGCCTCAGTCTGTCATATTGGTCTGGTTATTAGGCCTCGGTCTGTCAAGTTTGCCTGGTAATTGGGCCACTGTCTGTCATATTGGCCTGGTTATTCGGCCTCAGTCTGTCATATTGGCCTGGTAATTCGGCCTCAGTCTGTCATATTGGCCTGGTTATTGGGCTTCGGTTTTTCAAATTAGCCTGGTTATCGGGCTTCGGTCTGTCATATTGGTCTGGTTATTGAGCCTCGATCTGTCATATTGGCCTGGTTATTGTGCCACAGTCTGTTATATAGGCCTGGTTATTGGGCTTCGGTCTGTCATATTGGCCTGGATATTCGGCCTCAGTCTGTCATATTGGCCTGGTTATTGGGCCACAGTCTGTTATATAGGCCTGGTTATTGGGCCTCAGTCTGTCATATTGGCCTGGTTATTGGGCGTCAGTCTGTCATATTGGCCTGGTTATTGGGCCTTCGTCTGTTATATAGGCCTGGGTATTGGGCCTCAGTCTGTCATATTGGCCTGGTAATTGCGCCTCAATCTGTCATATTGGCCTGGTAATTGGGCCTCGGATTGTCATATTTGCCTGGTTATTCGGCCTCAGTCTGTCATATTGGTCTGGTTATTGGGCCTCAGTCTGTCATATTTGCCTGATTATTAGGCCCCAGTCTGTTATATTGGACTGGTTATTTGGCCCCGATCTGTCAAGTTGCCCTAGTAATTGGGTTTCGGTCTCTTATATTGGCCTCGTTATTGGGCTTCGGTCCATCATATTAGCCTGGTAGTTTGGCCACAGTTTGTTATATTGGCCTGGAAATTGGGCCACGGTCTGTCATATTGGCCTGGTTATTGGGCCTCGGTCTGTCATATTTGCCTGATTATTCGGCCTCAGTCTGTCATATTGGTCTAGTTATTGGGCCTCAGTCTGTCATATTTGCCTGATTATTAGGCCCCAGTCTGTTATATTGGACTGGTTATTTGGCCCCGATCTGTCAAGTTGCCCTAGTAATTGGGTTTCGGTCTCTTATATTGGCCTCGTTATTGGGCTTCGGTCCATCATATTAGCCTGGTAGTTTGGCCACAGTTTGTTATATTGGCCTGGAAATTGGGCCACGATCTGTCATATTGGCCTGGTTATTCGGCTTCGGTCTGTCATATTGGCCTGGTTATTTGACCTCGGTCTGTCATATTGGATTGGTAATTGGGCCTCAATCTGTCATATTGGCCTGGTTATTGGGCCTCGGTCTGTCATATTTGCCTGATTATTAGGCCCCAGTCTGTTATATTGGACTGGTTATTGGGCCCCGATCTGTCAAGTTGGCCTGGTAATTGGGTTTCGGTCTCTTATATTGGCCTCGTTATTGGGCTTCGGTCTGTCATATTGGCCTGGTAATTGGGCCTCGGATTGTCATATTTGCCTGGTTATTCGGCCTCAGTCTGTCATATTGGCCTGATTATAGGGCCCCAGTCTGTCATATTGGTCTGGTTATTGGGCCTCAGTCTGTCATATTTGCCTGATTATTAGGCTCCAGTCTGTTATATTGGACTGGTTATTGGGTCCCGATCTGTCATGTTGGCCTAGTAATTGGGTTTCAGTCTCTTATATTGGCCTCGTTATTGGGCTTCGGTCCATCATATTGGCCTGGTAGTTTGGCCACAGTTTGTTATATTGGCCTGGAAATTGGGCCACGGTCTGTCATATTGGCCTGGTTATTGGGCCTCGGTCTGTCATATTTGCCTGATTATTAGGCCCCAGTCTGTTATATTGGACTGGTTATTGGGCCCCGATCTGTCAAGTTGGCCTGGTAATTGGGTTTCGGTCTGTCATATTGGCCTGGTAATTGGGCCTCGGATTGTCATATTTGCCTGGTTATTCGGCCTCAGTCTGTCATATTGGCCTGATTATTGGGCCCCAGTCTGTCATATTGGTCTGGTTATTGGGCCTCAGTCTGTCATATTTGCCTGATTATTAGGCCCCAGTCTGTTATATTGGACTGGTTATTGGGCCCCGATCTGTCAAGTTGGCCTGGTAATTGGGTTTCGGTCTGTCATATTGGCCTGGTAATTGGGCCTCGGATTGTCATATTTGCCTGGTTATTCGGCCTCAGTCTGTCATATTTGCCTGATTATTGGGCCCCAGTCTGTCATATTGGTCTGGTTATTGGGCCTCAGTCTGTCATATTTGCCTGATTATTAGGCCCCAGTCTGTTATATTGGACTGGTCATTGGGCCCCGATCTGTCAAGTTGGCCTAGTAATTGGGTTTCGGTCTCTTATATTGGCCTCGTTATTGGGCTTCGGTCCATCATATTAGCCTGGTAGTTTGGCCACAGTTTGTTATATTGGCCTGGAAATTGGGCCACGGTCTGTCATATTGGCCTGGTTATTCGGCTTCGGTCTGTCATATTGGCCTGGTTATTTGACCTCGGTCTGTCATATTGGATTGGTAATTGGGCCTCAATCTGTCATATTGGCCTGGTTATTGGGCCTCGGTCTGTCATATTTGCCTGATTATTAGGCCCCAGTCTGTTATATTGGACTGGTTATTGGGCCCCGATCTGTCAAGTTGGCCTGGTAATTGGGTTTCGGTCTCTTATATTGGCCTCGTTATTGGGCTTCGGTCTGTCATATTGGCCTGGTAATTGGGCCTCGGATTGTCATATTTGCCTGGTTATTCGGCCTCAGTCTGTCATATTGGCCTGATTATTGGGCCCCAGTCTGTCATATTGGTCTGGTTATTGGGCCTCAGTCTGTCATATTTGCCTGATTATTAGGCCCCAGTCTGTTATATTGGACTGGTTATTGGGCCCCGATCTGTCAAGTTGCCCTAGTAATTGGGTTTCGGTCTCTTATATTGGCCTCGTTATTGGGCTTCGGTCCATCATATTGGCCTGGTAGTTTGGCCACAGTTTGTTATATTGGCCTGGAAATTGGGCCACGGTCTGTCATATTGGCCTGGTTATTTGACCTCGGTCTGTCATATTGGATTGTTAGTTGGGCCTCAATCTGTCATATTGGCCTGGTTATTGGGCCTCGGTCTGTCATATTTGCCTGATTATTAGGCCCCAGTCTGTTATATTGGACTGGTTATTGGGCCCCGATCTGTCAAGTTGGCCTGGTAATTGGGTTTCGGTCTGTCATATTGGTCTGGTTATTGGGCCTCGGTCTGTCATATTGGCCTGGTAATTGCGCCTCAATCTGTCATATTGGCCTGGTAATTGGGCCTCGGTTTGTCAAATTGGCAAGGTTATCGGGCTTCGGTCTGTTATATTAACCTAGTTATTGGGCCACAGTCTGTCATATTGGCCTGGTAATTGGGCCTCGGTCTGTCATATTGGTCTGGTTATTGGGCCTCAGTCTGTCATATTGGACAGGTTATTGGGCCCCAGTCTGTTATGTTGGCCTGGTTATTGGGCACCAATCTGTTATATTGGCCTGGTTACTAGACCTCGGTCTGTCATATTGAGCCTCGGTCATTGGCCATTATGACAGAACGATACCTACTAACCTGGTCAATATGAAATTAGCTTATTTTCGACTACAAACGTCATTTTAACCTTATACTCTGTCGTTTTACTTATGCAATACATGTCATATGGAACAAGGGAAATAACTCTTATTCGCTGTTTATAACAATTCATGTTGAAAGACGTCAACATTCCACTATGCTCTCCTCTCTCATTGGTTCCTGGTCAAAGCCAATTTGGATAACGCATTAACGATTGATGTACAATTAATTTATATAAAGTCTTGTTATGTTTGCATGCCTGTGGTCCTTTGTTGTCTTTTCGAGTTCGTGTTTACCGTTTCCATACATTCGACGTAAAATAAATTTCTTGTATTTTTTGTGTCTAGTACCTCATGGTCTTTACTCTCCTCCCCTTCTATCCTTTTTATCGATTTGTTTGTGTATAAATATCCTGTAAGCTGGTGACTACCTCACTGAACAACAAGAGGGAAGCACATCGTCAGATAAAGTTTAAAGATGTCTTTTACAAGGACACAACCACCACAGCACAAGACGGTCAATGTCATACAATGTATTTGTTTTCTGAAGAACACAGTCCACCTCGGGTATCCCCTGCAAAGCTTGAATCTGGCTACCGACTGAGCTACATCGACCTTTTATCTATGATTATTTATTTATTTATCTATTTTTAGTAAACATTACATCATTATTGTTGTTAAGTAGATAATATGTCACTCTGAAATTTATATTAAGAGAAGGCATAACAAATCTTATATAGGAAAATGTACAGATTTGTGAACTAGCCTTCACACAAGGTAGATCAAACTTCAGGACCTTCAATCATGTTTTATTATTAATATCCACACGTTACATAATTTTGTAACAGTTTTCCCCAGTTGTAGCCTGTTGGGAATTGTCTGATATACAAAAACAGTTTCAAGACTTACTGAAATTGTGTAAATTTGCTATCAAAGCGTCCCGGTCTTTGTATCACGGAAACTGGAACGAATGGAAGATCTCCCTAGACCTGACATCACTGGCGACCCCTGGTAACTTCTGAGAAATATACTGGAGTGAGTGTGATAGTCTTGCGTAAAACACGTCATCTTACGTATACAAGGGAGAACGAAACGAGGCTCGGCCGGGATATCGGAGAATCCCCCTGTAGAAAACAAGAGAACAAGTGACTATGGTAGTTAGTTCTATCGTGAGAAAATTGTGTTAATGCACTTTATCTTTTATCGTTCATGAAATATTCATCTGTGCATTCCTTTCGACATGTTTGATATCCAGATGAAGATGCATTTTCGAAAAAAGTACACGTGTGTGTTATCGTATGATAAAGTAAACGATAAATTACAAAAGGACTTGGCACAAATTCCTTGAAATTATAGATATGTTTTAGTTATATTCTAAGGACAGCAGATCTTATTACACACACATTGCCTTAAGAGAAAAGTTTTATCTTTCCAGTGAATGCGTAATGAAGTACATATTGGCAAAGACATGACATGAGGAATTCGGAAAAAAAATTGTTTGTAATGGTTACCTCGATAACTATGCCGAAATCGCAAAAACTACGAAATATTTTATCAATTAAAAATGTTCATTTAATTTTGGAAAAAATATAATACTGTGAATGAATTTATTATAATTTCAATAATGAGAGCCCATACCATAGTTTGAAAAGTCGTCCCTGTAATGTATTAGAGGAAAACATGCGAAAGAAACCACATGGAAAATAGAAAATTGAACAAATACCAGGAATTAGATATCAGTGCCTTAAAGGGACTAAATGGTTAGATTTGGTTTTTTTTTTGCTCTGGGAGAAATTGATAAAGATTATCAGCTTGCTTCAATGCATGTGGATTTGACAACAGAGACAATGACTCAGCTAGTAGCAGTGATGATGATGATGATGATGATGATGATGATGATGATGATGATGATGAAGAAGATGAAGAAGATGACAACATCCCACTGGAAGTCTTCAAGTTGTCCAAGGACATTTTTGGTGTTGATTTTGAACAACTGAAAGATATTGACCAACATGTGGCTACTTGTAACGACGAAACTGTCGACTGAAATACCAATGCAAAGTCACTACTGCAACATTTCATTCAAGATGTTGATGATGACAAAGATGACAATGATGATGATGATGACAACGCCAATGAAGACATTGATACACCTGTTGTGACAAAATGTGATGCGCATGAACATTTAGATGGACTTTGTAAATATGCCCTCGCCAGTGGTAATGTGCAGATTTTGAACTGTGTGATGGACATTGAACATCAGTTGATCAGCAAAACTGCTTCACATTCAAAACAGACAAAAATGTAACAGCTTCTTTATTCGTCAAGCAGGAAAAGACATGCACAGAGACCAGGACTTAGGACTTATTGTATGATGTTGTGTAATCAGCACACAAATTGCATATTTTTAAATGGACCTCATTAACACTTTGCTTCAGTTAAATGATTTTTTCTTGAGAAAAGTGTAATTACTATGATTATCAACACAAAGAAAATGATGTGACCTGTTTTGTATGGTTTGATAGTAATTCTTCTCTTACATTGTATTTTTATTTAGTGCTGATATAAATATGTAATTCTTTGACAATAAAATAATCAAAACTTTAAATAATGATTTTTTTTTTATAAAAATTAAGAACAGCTTGTAATTATAAGTTTACAATGAAACAGGAATACTGCTTTTATCTTCACAAAGGATTGGTGCAAATTGATTATCTCCCTTTGATTCAAGAATTTTGGATGTTCATTAAAACCTTCATATAAAGACCACCTGTCTATAAAGACCGTTTTTTGATTTCCCCATGAGCGGTCTTTATATACAGGTTTGACTGTACGACTTTGTGATTGCTTTCATTCCCGTAAGTAACTAGTTCTGATTAAGATTGTAAATTTCTCTTTCACAGGCAAGTATGGGTGTGCTTACAATCCTCTTGAAGCCTCGACTTCACAAAATATTGTCACCTCTTCAGTGGAATATTTCTTACCTACCTATATAAGTTTCACTCTTCTGTTTAATTTTCATATCAAAATCCTCTCTCAATTAACACTCCAAGAAAGATAACTCGCACTTGCAATAGCTACAGGAACTATTTCAGTCGTACTTGGTAACTACTATATTTGATTTGGTATGTTTAACGTGTAACTATTACTAAATGTAGTAAGAGCTACCTAGTGGTAAACTTTGTATTGGATTAAGTATAATTTAAGGCGTAAATACTATTTGTAGTTGGGAAAGGAATTAGTTAACCTATCGAACACCATATTACAGTTGACAACACTATCGTTACCGTGTGCAGATTTACCTGTAACTATCGTTGTCAGTAACCCTATTATCAGCGTTGATAATACTCCAATCAAGTGATACCATAAAAAAGATACACGAAAAAGCCACATTCTGAAAAAAAGAACATACAAAGTAGTTTGTGAAGTGCTGAGTGGTACAGGCAGGTTTGTCTTGAAGATTGGGAATGAGGTGTTCATTACGGAAGTGCCTGATAGTCATATAGGAATAAGTTTTTCCTGAACGCGAAAATGTTTTATCTGGAAGCCACCACTTAATTGTGTGTCGACAGAAATTGAAGATATTGATGCCATTTGATTAGGGTATTCAATAAGTCTAACATAGGGATACGTTTTTCGCCATTTTTAAATATCTGGCGTCCGCCATACACTTTTTTTACTTATTCATTGACAGATATTTAAGAGGCGGACACAAGATAAATTATTTTCGCATCAAGGAAAAACATATTCCTATGCGAGTCTAATACACTGCCGTAGACGTAGATCAACATTAACATACTTCGCATCTTATAATATCTAGATTGGTCACGTACGTATCTGACCATTTTTTCATCGAGGAAAATTATTCAGTTTTGCCATTATTTTTTTCTAATTAGTTTACCCTGGTATATCATGTTGTGGTGTGTCCATATCTGTCGAAGACATATTGTAACTAGATGTGGTTTGATATCCCTCAGTAAAGTTATTGTCATCTTTGTTGGTAAAGTTAGAAAGAGAGTAGAAACCGGACATATTTAGGTAACATCCGGTTATTGGGACTTCCGGTAACAATGAATTATGGGACGGCGTTGGCGCGAAATTGGATCCAATAGTCATGGTGACACACAAACAAAATGAGAGGAGTCCGCCGATAATAGCACTCTGAAAAGATCACATGAAGCTGGTGTGAAAAATGCTTCAAAATAAAAGTAGTACATGGAAACAAACTTTTCAGAAAAGAAGTTTAAGTTTTGGAAGTAAACGTTCTTGCCTTTGCATTGGCCCATGGCAGAATCACACCGAGGAGAAAAACACCGACTAATGGGCCGGAAGTAGCGGACAAAGTACCAATGGTGATCTACACAAAAACAGACAGGGATATATAATATCTTCATTTCAAAAGAGTTCTATAAGATATACTGATATAAGTGTAACTTGTATAATTATTTTCTCGTGTTTATTCATTAATTATGTAGACAAAATTTACCAAGACTTACCAAGAATAATCATACTGAATATTTACGTTACTTAAAGGTCACAAAACAAGGGAGGTAATAACAAAACGATTGAAACAATAAAACTGTTCTGGCCTTCAAGACTTGTTAGGTACCAGTCTGATCTACATATATGTATCATTATGTTGTCTACATCTTAAATCAAGACTCCAGATACTTTATATTATTTCATATCTTGAATAATTATTGTTTTCTGGAAGTCAAATTTCGTTTCTAATTTTCCTTTCGTTACTAATTAATCAGTAAGTGCTTATATAAGAACTTACCTGTGTGATTGTACCTTTCAGATTCATGGCTAGAAAGGCTAGACCTACTGTTACTATTCCTGTACACACAACTGCAACAATAGATTTTTTATTTAAATGAGTTTCCTGACAACCCATGCCATAGTTAAATAATAGTTGTGTTTTGTGTATGTATAACTGATAGATTTTTGCTTAAAAACATAGTTATTAAAACGATAAATTTATAGTGTTAGATATTAAGCAGATAGTCAAATCAATTCTTCCTATTGGTGGTATTGAAGTTACGTCATAACCGCAATCACGTGAGGAATTTAGAAAGTCATTGTAACACAATCAAGTTGTATTTTGTAAGTTATAGAACTGAGAACATAAACAAGTGCGATCACTTATCCCAACATTTCCAGACATTGTCTTTAAGCATTGAATTAAAAGTTGATTTATGAACTATGAATTAGAAAAATATCGTAATTTGCTATGTGCAAATGTACCTGTCACTTTGGAAACGAAAGTACCCCTCATTCTACTGGTCGGAGACAGGGTCGGGTCCACGATGTCTTCCCATATTAGTGCGGACACAGCACTCAAACCAGAAGATAGCGTGCTGTAAAAGTATATTCAATACCATTTCATAATAATATATTGAACTGTGACAGCATGTCCCACGACAAGCTGATGAACTTTTGTATATGTTTATTCGGGTGGTTATTTAGATAGAAGTAGAAACCGATGTCCAAATGAACTGAAAACATGGCAATGTTTTGATGTCCGATTCTTTAAAAAAATATTATATAATAGTGTTCCACAATTGCCATTCCGTTTAAAAGTTGTCATACTTAGTGTAGATAAAATGTCAAACCATTAAGCATAACTGACGTTACAACTTTTCGCGGCTTTTTGTTTCGCTTACAAAATGTTTGGAGAACATTGCACTTACTAAAACAGTTGATTTAACTGTTTTAAAAATTAAAAAAAAAACACCTTTTATAGGTACAGGTTTTACTTAAATCGATACACTATTGTGTATCTTGATTATCTGTCTTTATTATGATTGAATCAAGACTATTTCAACACGTATCAATATCAACACTCGTTACATAGGGAGGCGGGGGATATATTTTGAAAGTTTGTATACAAGTCCCCTAATGTCTAGGTCAACAAAATGACAGCTGGATGAACCACGTGGCGTAATGTTGCGATTTGTACAAACCTCAAAGTAGCACTGAACAGGCATGCCATGAAAATACCAACAAACCCCGGAACGAAGGACATTTGTTCCACCACAAAATATGGCACAAGCTGAATAATGAAATATGTTAAACATATTTATCGCAAAACTATGTTTTAGTTCAGGAGGCACGATCTCTCACATTTTCAGTTATATCAAAAATAACTGAAGAATAGAAATTAACGCGAAAAAGTAATACATTTTTGAATTTGTATTTCAACATCAACACCATTCGTGTCATAGAGTAGAAATTTAACTTTGGAATATTTTCAAGTGTGTACCTGGTTAGAACTTTGAATTAAGCCTGCACGTGTAGGATCACATGCTTTGTTGTGGTAGAAGGCGAATAGGACCATTCCAAGTAAAGCCATAAGGGTTTCCAGGATGACAGCGGCTGGTAGATTGGTAAGGACCGCTCTTTGGTGAAACAGAAAATATCGGCTTACTACAGTGATAACACCAGACTCACATTTTGGCTTACGATCTCATATATTTGATATGATATCAGAACATAGGATCGCCGAGTCGCATCAATAACGTGATATGTTTTGCTGATAAACATCTAAGGATATTTCAAGACTTCATATTTTGCTAATAATAATTTATAAATGTTTGTTTATTTCGTGGTTTTCTTTTTTTTTGTTGATATGTTGATATAGATCTTACATATTGAACCATATATTGGTGGTTCACCCAATAGTGAGCAGCGAAATGCATTCACATAATGTTTGTGTCATATTGGGATAGGACCGTTGTCTCATTTAGTAAATACCGAGGTCATATTATATTGTGAGCCGTGATATTCTTGTATTGTCTGGTGGTTACATCAATAACATCATGCGTGAGACCTGTTAAAGATCAATTTGGTAAAGAGTGTTGCTAAAAAATGCAACTATGACAGCCCAAGGCGCTCCATGATATCGGCACCCTTCTAAACTAAAATCGTCTCAGTACGAACCATAAATCCCGGAACCGAAGGAGCTCAAAACCAATAATACAGAAACCTTTCAACAAACAACTGAACGACTGTAAGCGTTCCTTTTCACCATTTAATTATGCTTAAAGCTAGTCGTATGTAATAAAGCTGATTTGGTATATATAAAACAAGTTTTCGAATTGTTGAATAGAAAATATCATTGGCCATGCTTTGTTATGGGTAAATGAAAGACTGGTTACAAATCTCTAATTTTGTCAAGAAATACTGCATTTCTACTAGTTTATCTCCCCTCCTTGTGAAACTTAGTCTTATATCAGAATTCTAAAACTCATTTTTATTTAAAATTCAAATATTCTAGAGATTTAGGCCATTGTAGGCAAATGGAAGCGATGTAAATTAGCAATATCCGTAAATATCCACAAGCACTAAGTTTATTTGTTTCATTAATATTGCATATGAAACCTTTGCTTTACACAATTGATCATTACAAAATGTTGATTTCATCAATTTTATTAACTGGTTGTCAATTTCAAGTCAGCTGCGTTATTTTGGGCACGCGCTTCAGATATTTAAATCATTTACTCGATCGATTAATGATTTCTATATTTAGATCAGCTGGCAACTGATTAAATCGGGGACAAATGTGTGAATGACAGCCCAGACAATTGGATTTCTTTAGTAAACGATATCGAGCAATTTCATGTCGTGTGCTATTCTTATCCCAATATTTCAAGATATTTCATCAGGACCATTTACATTCTTGACTAGACGGTATAATCCCAGCACCTCAATGCGATCAATGTCTGTTGAGATTTTATTTTCAAGCAATAATGTTTCTGTGAGTTTAAAATACAATAAAGAGTTATGTCAGTGAACAAATTTGGTCAAATCAGGTTCAGTGGTTTTAGAATAAAAAAAAACTGGTAAACATTTTCGTTTTTGAAGTTTTCACTGTTGCATAAGTAACTATAGGAAACATTTTTTGGGAGAAATACAGACATCCATTGCTTTAAGGCTTACATTTGGGCCACAAATAATTGATATCTTTTTAAAATATATTTAGGATCTTAGAAGAGTTCTCATTTCATAAGTGATTTGATTAAAAGTAACTTAGACGTTTACATTTTTGTCTTGGCGAGTGGAAAGTTAAACTCAAGACAAATATAATTAAATGTCATGGAATGAAAATTAGTTTTATGATACTTTTTTCTCAACATAACTCAAAAAATGAGCCAATTCACTGGATAAAAGGCCGATTATATAATAATTAATATTCTTAAATCTCTACTTACTTCCGAGCCTCTCTTATAGAGGGCGTTGAACTTATTCTCTGTACTCCCGATTGGCTAATACCATTTCCTATCCATGACGTCACAGTTCCTAAAGTAACCGCCCAAAATGTCTGTCTGGCTGTCGGATCAGGGTCAAAGCTGTGAAAAATTAAATTAGTTGTTGTAACCTAAAAATCGACTACGTCACAAAATGTGGAAGGGACCGGATTACAATACATTTTACCAATAGTATACCTAAGAATAATAAATGGAGGGTACTCTGCATATAGTATAGTAGAGTTGTTGTTAAGTTATGTGGCTTTCAGCTGCCTCTATTGGATTGAAATTTCAGAAAAAGAGTGTGGATCCAAAGGTTTGATAAAACAAATCGGTAGCATATTTAATTTTATATCCAAGTTAAGAATGATCTAGAATGATTTGAATGAGACAATCTAAAAATCTAATTTGTCAATATTCAACCGACACTTAGAACCTACGGAGGCCTTACAGCTAGGGATTGCATTATGATTTTGTTAAAGACCTCTTGCTAAAGGTTTATCATGCAAATAAAAGTTATCAGTTCATTTGTCATGCATATTCATACATATACAACATTATTCTTATTATGTTCAGGCGAGCTGAAATCACTTTAACAGTCAACTATCATTATCAGCTATCAAGGTTGTACAGGTAAAACGATTAAACAATACATTAATAGGTAAAAGAGCACACTTGTTATTGACCCACATAACAGATCATCGAGTCTCTGATGACATTAAGAGTATATGTACTACCGACCAATATTTAGATAATATACATTGTATAATGCTCACTGATTTTCGTCTATTTGTTACCAGAGAAGGCTTCTCATTTAGCGAAAGATGCTCAACCAGCTTAAAACTTATTACTTTAACTGATACTTATTATAAGACTTTATGAGGGTTTTCTTATATTTTCTTTACATCAAAAATGCATTAATAATCAGGTTTAAATACAGAAAAGATATAATATTTATTAAGCGAACCCGCCCGTGAATATGGAAAATATACAGAAAAATATATTTCTAATCTCTTTTTGTTTTTAAACTGACGCATAGTTGTTAGATATTTTTGGCTTCAAGGATCTTTCCAGATGATTATTGTTACCGGACATTCTTACTTAAAGAACCGAATTCTTCCTTGTTCAGAGCACGTTTGCCAAACCTGGCCGAGTCCTCCAGATCCCGCGACACCCTGCAATTAAAAAAAAACAACTATGGAAACTCCAACGTGTCTGGCTCTCATTTCATACTCAAATTCTATAAAACCAGCGCAAAAAATGAACAAAAAGGCAAATGCGCCCATGTGTTACGGATGGGTAAGCGTTTTCTGCTTCCTTAAATACATCCAACTTCCTATTTCCCAAAGATATCTGTATGACGACCGTTTAACTTTAAAAATATGATCATCAAAATGCGTCGATCGAAACTGTGTGTTGTAAATTTGTCTTTCGTTTGCCGACATCTTGCACGAAAATCGTGTAATGGGGGACAATATTTTCAAAATCGAATCATCTACGACATGTAAACACAATAATTTGGAATGCAGGAATGTTGCTACCAGGAAATGAAATATTCACAACAGGGAAATTGAAATCATCACACTTTTAATATTGTTTGGTGAAAAATGTTCCTGTTGGCTTTGTTGCAGGAAAGACCGAGTTAACGGTATATACGATGGACATAGTCAATAACATCTTGTTATTTAAGGCAAGGCATCATCAATATCTGATAGTTACCTGCTCTTCAGTCTCGATTGAAAACAAAAACAAGTCAATCAAAAGAGAGACACAGTAGGTAATTGACAACATACTGATATTTCAGTAATGATATACCTATATGCATTACAAATCACACACCGCGTACATAGATATACACATATATGAACAGTATATATATATATATATATATATATATATATATATATATATATATGAATATACAACTTTCAGTGATATTTGAACTTTCTATCAGGTATGTGATAGATGCATAAAATACAACACAAAATTTAATATATATCCGGAAAAAACACACTGATTCAGTTATACATGTGTTGTCTTTAACATAATGATTTCGCTTCTACCAAATAAAGATATCATTTTCATCAAATGTTTCTCTTTCACTAAGTGAGATTTTAAAAAATCACAAATGATTTACCTTTATCAAAAGTATCATGATACCGGTGATCATGACAAGGAACTGGAATACATCGGTCCACACCACGGCTTTCATTCCACCCTGAACACAATTAATTTATATACTGATTTTTTTCTATTTAATTTCATATCATCAGAGACATACATCTCTGATCTCATTAACAATATGTATGTTTATGCCCGCTAGCGCCAGCTGGCGGCCAAGGTAGGAAAATAGGGGGAGATAACCTATCTATAGGAAGGAACTGTATGTGTCTAGGTAGACATTGTATTACCTTGTGCATCAGCGCGATTTTTAAACGCCGCTGATATTTTGATCCATTCAAAACATGAATTCAATACAGCTGCACACGTTCGTGAAAATACCCCATACAAAATCACTCGTGGCAACTGAGTCACAAAAACGAAATTGTTAATGAGAGGAAAAAACATACATTGCCTTGAACAATTATTTTCCGATAGGGTTTATTTACATCCTAAGAGATATTGGTAATATTCGTTTGGGATAATTAAACATCGACAGGTCATTTTGAAACGGAGTGCAGTGGAGGGTAATTGTTTGAATAATATTGATTTTTAAATTTTTGAAATAATTTTTAAACTTTACCACTTACCAGCATGGTATAGAGGACTGTAACGGCTGCTACTAGAGGCATGGAGATCCATACAGAAAGGTTAGTCACTGGAAAATCATAAAGATGAACTATACCGCATTGTAATGTGCCGTTCACATATGTGTAGATTCATGAGTACCGCGAACATTTTATTGCACATTTATTTCAAAATCAATTTTTTCAGTAGTTAATTTATGCGAATAAATAATTTGAAAACTAATTAGATAACGGAACTACCTGCTTCTAAAGCCAGTGATGGTATGAAGAGAGTGACGGCCATATACATCACCTGATGGATGTAAATGTTCCCAAGTGTTTACAATGATTTACGTGACAAAATAAATAAATAAATAAATAAACATACAAATAAATAAATGAAAAAAAAATTCAGTACAGTATACTACACGTATTAACAATTAAGATTTGTTAGTCAAGTAAATGACTGACTTTGATTATTTACCATGTTATTGAGAAGTAATGAACCGAGAAACTCTTTTTTGCAAAGATTATACTTCTTTTTGTATGTGTCATGGATCAACGGAATAAAAAAGTTAAAGATGATCATTGTAATATAAATATTAATTATGAGATTTGTGACAGTTTTTCTCTTAGATAGTTTCTTACATTATTACAAACTAATGTTGACATTTTGATGTAATCGGATGATAACATAAAAAAATCAGCCAATGAGAATGCCTGTTTTATAAAGGATTAAACGATTACTGTTATAAACCAGAATATTTATCAATATATCATACTTTGTAATGACATAATCCAATAATCATCAAGATGGAATTATCATATTATGTTTGGACATGAGACCGACTGCAATTTCAAAGCCTCTCTCTTGGAGATATTTTCATAATAGGTTTTCACCGACTCGTAACAGTTCAAAACAGTCCGTTACTGTGTTTTTTTGTATTGAGACTAATCGTTTACCGTAAAAAGGATGCCTAGCACACTTCCAGTGACCCTTACTGCACGTGACTGGAAACGCATTTCGAGATACTGAAACAGGAAACACGATACGCATTAGGTTGTAAACAGTTCTGAGATTAAACTTCAACAAAGACTTTGAAATTAAATAATTTATGTATATAACACAAAATATGTGACTGACAAGGACAAATTCTTTGGACTTTCATGATGTACCCATGTAAACATTCCTGAATAATCGTGATAAAACATGATCTATAATTGTTGTGCCCAAATATGCCCGGCATGACATATGTTATGATATATGTCTGTTTGAAAAATTGCAAAAAAACAATTCCATACGCTGTTCTTTATTTTTCAATACGTGCTAAAGACTGATTTATTTACATTATGATATGAAAAATGCATTTGACGTTTTCATGAGCCCTTGGAGTTTTTATTTAGTTACATTGTACTGTTAGTTTTTAAAAGTATTTTTTATGTTGACACCTTGAGCTTGACGTAAATTTAATAATATTTCAGAAAAAATAGGAACGGTATACGTTTTTCAAAGTCGTTAAATTAATTTTCACGATTTTACTTCAACCTTACAAATTGCGCTAATAAAATAACACAGAAAACCTCGAAAATCATCTCGACACCTTATAGATAGGTCTAGGAACATTAGCTTATATAAGAAAATTTAGCCATTTGAATCTAACCGCCGCTGATGTAGTAGCATAATTAGCGAATAGACACCTGACAGCTAGACCATGAGAAGTCATATTGCTGTGAATAACTTGAAAACAAGTGTCGACTGGGTTATGCTGAGACACGAATCAGCTTCACGTGAAACAACTTTTCATTAAGCAATACATATTGTTAAACTGAAAACATTTGAAATTATAAAATTGTTGCACAGATACTAGAAACTGGACATACCAGTGTTCAATTCCGAAAATTTACGAGGAGGACATCCATCCACACGTCTTGAATCCTGATGATATTACCACAATTAACCGCAGAAATTGCAGTCAGACATTAACATGTTTTAACAGTTTGGTTTCAACAATCATACAAAAACACATGACTTTAACGTACACCAATACTTACTTCATACACACTTGTCAGCTGTAATGGATGAAACACTGGAACAAAGAACATGGCTACCAGTGCATATCCGGTAACGAGGCCTATTATTCCTAAATATATCTGTGTACCATACTGGTATATTTCCACTGGTAAACCTAGAAGACTAATTCCAGATTGGAACGTCACCATAAGAGAAATGGCTACAGGACAGAACGATATCTTTCTATTTCCCAACAAATATTCCTCCAAGGTTCTCTGTTTTCCTCCTGATTTAGCAAAATATATTCCTATCGATATGGAAACAAGCAATGTTACACCGAATATTATGTATTCGACGAAGTGTAAGTTGTCGGCCATGTTGACTTATCAGTTCAGTAAACCCGTATCAATGTAAATACTTGATTATGAACTCTACCCTTAGTATTGCCGTAGACATGTACCGTAATTATCTAAATAAAAACGTTACATACACATCAAAGCAAAAGGAAGTCCAGTTCTTATATCTAAATTGGATATATATATATATATATATTTATCCTGTAACGACGATGTCATTGTCAGAATGTATCTGCCACATATATTTTTGCTGTATTCGTTTTGTAACGGAAAACAGCTGTATTCTAGCACGTGCGTTCATTCGACAGAATTAATTTATGAAATTATTAACAAAATACGTTAAACTATAAAATATCTGCTGAAATAAACGATTCTACATGTTGTAACGAACAAGGTTATTTAAGAGATTTCATAAAATCGCTGTCATCTTCGTTGCAGTTTGGAACTATATTTTTGCGCAGAGCAATTATTTTGGCTTACGTCATCAGGCAAAATTCAGCGTAACGTCAACGTCAAGTTAACAAAGATTAAACAACAAAGCTATTGATTTTCAGTGTTACAAGATAAATAGAATACATGGTCAGTGTCTTAAGATATAAGCTGAATTTTGGTGAGGGTGAAGAAATTTTGGGCTGTTTACGTTGCTACACAAACCAGTCTTGTTTATATCATTTGTTGACTAGGTAGTAAACAAAGTCAGGAAATAGACGATTGTCCAAAAGAAACATAAGTGAACATCACCTTTAGCGATAGATACAGTAGAGCCAAACAAAAAAGTAAGCTGCATTATAAGGCTGTTTAGGCCTTCTAAGACTCGTCAGTGATGCTAAGGGTCAGAAGTGTGGAAGCCTAGAAGGAGAATGAAAAAAAAAACCATCCAAAGTGAAGTGATCGAAAGAAGTCAATGCAGGTTACGGCAAACCTCTGGGACTTACAAGTCCACCAGCAGTTTGTAACAAGATAATATAACACTACGACAGTTATCATAATAATTTCGTACGGCATTTCTATAAATATTTTATCTTGATGATATCATATATGATACACTCGACTCTATTCTAATATAATAATGTAATAAATATAATATTTTACCACCAAGATCTGGTAGGATTATTTAACAAATAGAGAGGTTTATAGTGCACGTATATCTATCGATGCCCTACCTGAAAATAACGGAGTGCTATAAAGATAGAAAGATAAGCAATGATTGATTATTCTGCTTTTCTGATGAGCAAACATCGCAAAAATTAACCCGGTCTTGATTATCTGTTGTTTTACTTTTTCTTTATTTGGTTTTGATATTATGTTTCGACAATATACCTAGGAAACAGCGAGTAATTTGTCTGACGATTAACTTTAATTATTTCCTACGTGATTGAGTCTAAACTAGGGAATACAGATATTCAGAATTAAATGGAGTAGTCTGTAAAATGCATGACAAATGAATGAAAGTGACGAGTGAAAATAGTCTATTTCAATATCGTTGATGATAACACAAACTAAACGTAGTCCCGATTCAGCATATAATTCATACATTGTACTTAGACACGTGACCAGGAATTCTCAACAAGCATAAATATGCTTATTATCTATTGAAAATGTATGAAGCGTCATGCCATGTGTGTGATGTAAATATGTACCGTAGTTGTTTAAATTACAACACAGAATACGAATGTTGATGTTTGTCACCTCTTTTGATTTACCGTAAAAATAGTAGTTTCTCTCTGACAGTTTATCAAATTAAATCATCAAATTTGTACAAAAGACACACAAGAGAATAACACAATTCGATACAAATCTGGAATAAAAATAGATTTGAATGCATAATACAGCTGTATCGTCATTATGGGAGTCGGCAACGTAATGGAAGGGGCTTGATTATTGAAACCTAAAAGGCGACTGAGGAACATCAAACTAAGTCAACCGAATTTTAAAATATAGAAAAGAACGACATTAGTCTCACAATCAATTATTTGCGTAACTTTTTATTTCGAAAGAAACGGAGTTCGGAACAAATATCGATATTATATTGAACCTCATTCATTGATTCAACGACTACAGAGACTCGTTTATGGTCAAAACTTTGTAATTTCCGTGGAGACCTGTTATAAAGCCATTAGTCAGAATCTGAGTGCTCAGAGTGCCAGAGTATATCCATTTTCGCTTTGATTTAGATGACACCGACGTGGAACATTTTGATTTAACACAAAATCAAGTTAAGGTACTACTGGTGTCATCCAAAAACTTTACAATATAAATTCATCATATTCTGTAAATATACCTGGATACAAACAAATCAAGAATATCAAAGCACAATTAGTTTCTACTAGAAACTAAATGCCTTAAGCTTTATTTTAATCTTACATTCCTGATTCTGGCAAAGACAAAAATAGTCTATCTGATTTCAATTAAAAAATGCTTAGCTGATTTTTAGTTCATCCTCTTATCAACATTAAACTAGATCTAGTTAATAGTCATTTTCATAGTAAAACTAATAGTAAAAAAGGTCATGTACTTTGAGACTTTGAAGCAGTACATCCGTATCGGTAAATTTTGAGTCTCTGTCAGATGTGTTATTGATTCTATTTGCAGTAAATGGATCATTTATCTTTTTATTTACCTGAAAACATCATGTGAATGATTATATATAGGGATGGATATATGTAAGCTATTTCAGTTGTAAAGAAACTCATTAGCACATACGAGGACTGATTGATAAGTTGTGAGCTTTGTATTGCAAAAGTTAAGCAGGGATGTCCCTTTTTCAGTTCTACTATTCCCTGACTTTTTAAGGTTGTGTACCCGAAAACTGGAGTCATTTGGTCAGTTTACGTCGACGAAGTAGCACTCTGAAGTAAACATGACACTTATCACGTTTGCCAAAATGGCCAAATCGCTGAAAGAACAGTGATTCAATATTTGTATACGAAAGGTCTAGCACCTATAGATATCTATACTGATATGGGAGGGATACAAGGGAATGATGCCTCTTCATATATTACAGGGAAAAGGTAGATGGCGGAATTTAAGCGTGGCAAGCCTTGGAGATGACGCCCGTCCTGTAAGGCCTGATACTGTTATAACTCCAGAATCGGTCAATAAAGGCCATGGTATTATTATGACTGACAGGCGAGTTACAGAGATATATAGCCTGTACATTTGGGATTTCACAAGGAAAAGTATATTCCATTTTTACGGAAGATCTTGTAAAGAGAAAGTACCAAAACTGATGTCCGCCAAACGTCAAATCCTTAAATATGAGACTCATACTTTAGGAATCAGCCCTCGTATACACTACTCAAACATATGAAGCTGTGATTGGTAAAGCTTAAAATTATTTTTCTAACTTCACTAAAATGTTAAGTTTTAATATTTAGTTTTTTGCGTAGTCACTGATGTTTTCTAGTTTTCATATATCATATACAAATGTCCGTACGCGAGTTTATCTACAAAATATGTACATGTCACTGATGACGCATTGTCAATCCTCGTACACCTATCATTTTCTGTACTGCTTTTTATTGTTACTTCTATACCAACACTTCTCTTTCATTTTCTAACAACTGCACCAAGCACTACATTGTCTCACCTATAGAAGACTTTGTTTTCTGCTTCGCTATTTTATCATTACAGGTTTAGGAATGTCATACAACAGTCAACATTATTTTGACGTTCAACTTATCTGAAGCCGATGGACATTAGAGCTCTGATCCTGTATTAAATGAAGGAAACAAGCGACCCGCGTCGTGGTAGGCATTCAATTTCCGCGAGCAATTCCCTCATTGGTTTTCGATTGATGTCGTTTTTTAGCTTTCTGGATTATGGAAATTATGCGAAGACGGATTTTCAAAAATGAGACAACTTCCTGAACTGAGATGAAGATACATGATTCATGTCAATATATGGTAGAGCTTGAAGTAGTGTTTTCCTTGTTTTCACTTTCGTCAATACGCGTTATCACGGAAGGAGTGTTGAATGACAATTTGTAGCAAAATTCTTTACCAAGCCTGCTGTAATTTATATACAACAAGCATATCAATAGGCTTGTTCAGCAAAATTCCACTTCTACATCTCGCGATTATATAACATTATGGATTTATCGTATACTTGCTTTATTTGACAGGCAGCCGAATCAGAGAAAATAACTTTAAGATCTCATGGCGTGAGTTAAATAAGAAATATTTCAATTACTGACAAAGATTAGTATACACATAGTAGAAAAAGGTTTGTTTGTGAATGTGAGTTTTTTTGATGTGATAATAAATAATGAAAAGCATGTATGTATGTATGTATGTATGTATGTGTGTGTGTGTGTGTGTGTGTGTGTGTGTGTGTTCCATGGTGAATTGATCAATTGTAATTTTTCTTAGAATTTAAACTGCATTTTTATTTGTTTATCATGATTTCCCTCTAATTCTGGCTATCAGCATCGTTTGTAATCTGGAATGATATAATACAAGTAAAGTTACATTATTTGATATTACAAACAACATCATATAAGTAGAAATATGTACAAAATTAGAGAAGCTGATCTTGTATCGCATTCAGGTATGTCTATTAGTGAGATTAACCTAATATTTTCTTCGTTTTGCACTTAATACTAAAAAAGGTACAGATTAAATTTTCGCGGCATGTGCGTTGCGCTTTGGTTTGCTGAAGTAATCCCACCAATGGAGCTTAATTAGCTTCTTTCAGTTTCTTATTATCTGTAAGTGTTATTTGTCAAGCATTGTTAGAAATCCAATGCTACTATCCTATCCAGCATCATAAATGTTTGCCAAGACCAGAGAAGTCTGGAACATGAAACAAAAACGGCTGAAGGCAATGGGTGAGGGGAACACACTGCCAACTCTTTAACTACCTGTGAATTCCAAAACTTCTATGTGGCAAAATGTCTTGGACTCCACCTCTTCAAATTTCATCTACACTACATTTTGAATGCCTATGGGAAAATAGCACATGGATTGATAAAAGTTCCTATAACACAACACAAACTATATTATAGCAGAACATTTAAGCGT